GATACCTGTGGGACGTCTTCCTCCTGGGTAACACTGACAAAATTTTCAAACAGTACCACCATGGATGGAGCAGCGATGACATGACAGTTGACCAAATCAGACAGAAAGCGCACCTGAGGAAGGAAGGGAAATTAATTATCCCAAGAAAAGACCCAAAACGAAAGAGACTCTTCAATCAGAAAAGTACCAAGTAAACTGCTTCATTGTACAAGTTGTTTTTCAAGGTCTCCTTCAGCTGCCTGATCATCGCCTCCACAAACTCGCCACCAAAGTTGTAGTTTCTGGCGTTGAGGAGGCCGACCAAAGTAGTGTACACGGTGAGCTTCTCCGGCAGCAGGCGAGCGCTGATGATGAATGACCCATCAGTGAAAGCAACGCTCTGAAAACAGCTTTATCAACCACTCAATAAGTTGTTAGAAACTTACACAGAACACAGAATGCGCAGGATTTTGTTTTTATAATTTGGAAGATCAGCCTCCAGGACGCCTGCCAGACCCTCGAGGTTGCTCTCAAGAGAAGAAGTACTCTGGAGATCAATAACACAAAAGATCAGTTAAAAAAAAAAAAATAATAATTTTTCTATTTTAATAATACAGCAGAAAAGGAAAAAGTGAATGATAAATGAAGACATTATGTGGATCATATTTTCATAGATTCAACAAAGAGAGGTTGACTCCATTGTACAGCTTTCTTACCTTTTCTCCTACACGACATATGAGGGATTCCAGGCGATCTTCAATCTCAATGGGCTCAGATGTTCTTCTCCTTTTATGAGCTTGGCCCCCTGGTAGGTCAGAGAGGAAAACATAAGGAAAAATGAAAAGGAAAAGCGATTAAATTCTGTGATGTACAAAAACTAAGGAGCTCATCATCGAATAATCAATTAATCTGAAATCGACTGACCTTATTGATCAAAAAACAAATAACTGATAAGCAGATAGTTTGTTAATAACCAACTTTTCTTTTCTATCAGAATATTTCTATAAAATGAGGGGCTGAAGATTATATTATTGTACCAGCTGTATCAAATGTTTTATTTTTACATGATAAAAGAGACTATATGAATGAGTACATAAAAGCATTCCTCATCGACCTCCACCTTTGTATAATCCTTACAAACAGCAGAGAATTTGATTCTGCTCCGCCATGCAGCACTGCTAAATGGCGACTATTTAGGTGATACCTAAAAAAGTTTATCAAGTGTTTATTGAACAAAGAGCATCCCACATCCTTTTAGTCATTAATCAGAATAAATAATCCCAGACTGGAGTGTGGATCGATTCATGTTTCTGCTCTGCCATACTGCCACCTTAGCATTACTTCTCTTGCAAATACCAGTAAGGTTTTACTTAGGAATAAACGCCTGCCAGTGGACGACGGAAACACTACAACAAAAAGAAATTCTAAGCAGATGTCAATTAATCAGATGAAATACAATTTTAATTTAATCATAAAGCATTAACTGACAATTAATTGCAAGTTGATTATCTGTATACATCTAGAAGATCCACATTTAGATCAATCAAATTTGATACATGCTTTTATTTGGCATGTATCAAAAAAATATATTTTTCTAAGTAACAGATAACTAATTTAAGCTCAAATAAATTACAACATGTTATCTATGACCGAGCATGAAAGTAAAGAAAAATATATATTTTTTTTCACTCAGTAAAGCTAAAGAAACCAAAACAAACTTTTTTCTAACTTGTCGATCAAGGTACAGAATATAAATAATCCTAACTAAAACATAAGATCAAAAGCTGAACTAGGCCTGTCACAATAACAAATTTTGCTGGAAGAAAAATTATTGCAGAAGTTGCTTCGATAAATGATGTGTTGTCATTGGGTTTAAAACCAAAGTGTTGTTTAAAACCAAACTGTAGCCGTCACGTTCAACTTTGAAAGCATTTCCGTGTCTTTTTTTCCCCTCCCAAATCTCTGCTGTGGTGGTGGAACAAGCAAGATACGCTGCCCTTGCTATCTGGACTGGCTGAAAACTACCTCTGTGTGCAGGCTTCCTCCACCCCATCTGAGAGGGTGTTCTCCACGGCTGGAGACACCATAAGCCCTGAAAGATCCCGTATCCTTCCAGAAAAAGCAGATATGCTCATCTTTCTGCAAAAGAACTGTTAATTTTCCCTACTACTGTTTTATAATTAGTATTTTTTGTTATTTAAAATAGGTTATTATCCCATCATTTGTTATTAGACATTGTTGGTTATTAAGTTTGTTCTTGTATTAATTTTTCATTTAAACACAGATGTTACTCCAGTTTCACATTTACGGTGGACATCTTGATCTTGTTGTGTTTGTAAGATTGTGCAATAGTTAAGTAAACAAAGTTGATTCTGATAATCAAACAGTTTGTTCTCCTTTTCCCCCCAAATTGGAATCGAAAAAAGAATCGATAAAGAATCGAATCGTTTCATAGAATCAAAAAGGGAATCGGAATCGTGAAAATCTTTTCAATTCCCAACCCTAACTAAGTGGGTAAATATCTGTCATTTGAGAATAGACTCTAAACCCCATCTTTTTCACTGTAATGTGAACGCCTCTTATGTAAAGAAAAGAAAAAAAATTCTGTTCTGATTTGCACACACACACATTTTTACTATACAAAGAACTTTGTATCAAAAAAATAAAAAAATCTAATTCTGAATCTATTCTCATTTTTATTCCCAAAGATTGATACACATAACCAAAGACTGATAAAAAAAAATTCTACTGTCCCTGCAACCTCCATTAACTACAGGTAACAGCTAAAAAAACGATCTGACCGAAATGTTCACATGTGTTTAAAAAGAATAAATTCTTAATCTTTAACATCTGAATTTATATGATTGTTTGACTTTTAATCGAAAAACATTAACAGAAACCCTTTATGTCTTTACTTTGACATTATGTTGACTGTAAATAAATGCATGCACTGAACTAATTTAATCACTATAAATAGATGCATTAACACCAAATGTAAGGAATTTATTTTAGCTGTACTTTTTTAGTAGGGCTGCAACTAATATGTATTTTGCTATTTAAGTTATCTGGTAAGTTTGCTTTAATAGTATATTAATAATCCAATAAAAAAAAAACTGCTTTACGGGACATTTGTTTCACGGGAAGCAAAAACTTTGCCAATCTAGGGGATATGGTTAGTAGGGTTGGGCAGTAATAAGGTATATCTGCAGTATCTTTAAAAAGCAATGGTATCAATTCCTTACAGTCTTTACCATTATCAAAACATACAGTGTGCTTATTAGGGCTGGGCAATTAATTGCGTTTGCAATATAATCGCAATTTAACAATACTGAAAGCCTGGGGTGAAACATCTACAAGCTTGTAGTTAGTGCAAAGGATAAACAAAAACTGCATTGCAATACTGGTTAAAAATAATTGTTCAGCCCTAGTGCTTCTTTAGGAGATACTGATTAAATATAAAATATAATTAAATAACTGCCTAAAAAATATTCTGCAGTTAGTCAAGTGATCATCAGAATGGAAGTCAGTAGCGCAAGTGAAATCCCCACGAAAAGAGGTGACTCTGGGAAGTCTCCAGAAGGAACAATGTAGTAACAGGTCCCATCATAAGCTTAGAGATTAGACAGTGTCAGAGCTGGAATAACAGCCTACTGTTTGAAATTTGTTATCCAAGTGGACCAAGATCCAGTTATGTGGTGGAAATGTGCTGCCAGGTGTTTTCCACCAAAGAGGGCAGAAAGTTCCTGTGCATCTGAGCCACAAGCTCGCTGTCGGAACGGGTTTTCGGCACTGCCTGAAAAGTTTTAAGTCCCCATTTTTCCCTGTTAAAGCCAGAAAAACTTAACATGCTTTTTTTTGGGCTAAAAATAGTAAACCTTTTGACACTTGCCACCCACTGGCACTGTGTGGGTGTGTGTTTTTATATTTGTTTCCTTTACTTTCCACTAATGCTCTTTTGCAGGGTTTCCAGGATGTTATTTAATTTACGTGATCTGGTGTGCAATTTGAGCAAAAACTGTTCGGATGGTAAAGTTGATTAAGCCTTTTTTACTGCTGTATTTGCACTTTTTTTTTTTTTTTTTTTTTTTTTTTACAAGCTGCTCTTTTTGGGGGAGATGTGCTTTGATTTAATACTTTGGGGTCTTTCTATTGCACTGGTGTACGAAAACAGTACAGTTACTGGTAGACTGGACGGTGTAAATTGTTTTAGCTTTAAATGAATGAATGAAAAGACCCCGCAGAATAATAGATTTTAACAGTTTTGCGAATGAGGGAAACAACTAACGAGGTTTTTTCGCGATTTGCATTTCTTTGAATGTCAAAACAACAGACCAGCAGTAGTTTTGTTTTAATAAAATGGTGATGGCTGGATAGATATGACACACGAGCATTCAGTCTTGTTGTTGTCACTAACAAAACCGCTAATGAAATTCAACAATGAAACTTCAGCCCAAGACCTTTGAGCATTATAAATGCACAGAACTCACACAAAAACAGCGAGTTACCGTCCCCGTATTCATTTCATATTCCAGCGGGTAGCCATCATACAGCTAACGGTAACGAGCGGATAATCCGCCGCGGCTCTTAGTAGAAGCTAACGCTTCAAGAGTAAATGTCTCAGAGAAGTGGACAAATTAACAGTTTCCCATTTTATTAAATTGTCTAGTAAAGTAAATAAGTAGGCGACTGGAATAAAATAAGCTGCAAATGAGCATGCGTGAATGTAGCAAAAACGCGCTATCGTTATTAGCATAACGGCTTTAGTGAACGTCCATACTTACCGTCATTCTCATCGCTATGTCGCCTCCTGGACATTATTGCAAGCGCCTGCTATGCACAAAAAGACCCTCGATTGAAAACAACAATAAAAAAACAAACAGAAAGTCTGTTAACAAGCAGCCCTTTAGCCCTGTGCAGTTCAGTGCATCGAGGCTTTTACACACAGCAGGGAAATAACAGCAGGCAAATTCAAGCGAAGCATTTCCGGGGCATTCCGGGTTCAGCCGGAAAATCCGTCTGCTTTTCTCCTCCGACGGTGTCCGTAACCCGGCTGCCGCGTCGCTTTACAAATGTGTCCTCCGACATGGTGCCACATTTAATATTAATCTAGATTTATCTAAACGTAACCACAATCAAAAAAATGTTACATTAACAATGCGCCGGAAGTGATGTGTCCTTGCATGGAAGCTACTTCTGCCCGAACGATTATTATTTAAAAGCTTTTATAGAAAGAAAACTATAATGGCGACAATTGAAACACCCTGCTCCGAGTTCATGAACTGGGAGGTAGAAAGTTCAACTCGTAACGGATTAAAACAAGAGAAACAACTATCTGCTTCGCTGAGAAGATGCTACAATCTCTGTAGGAGGAAGGTGGGAGTATATTGACTGTGCTATCTGGTTGTTACAGTGATCATTGTGATGAAGATACATTTTCAAGGGACAAATATTTATAAGTATTACGGTATTTTAATTTGAAACAATTATACGAGTCAACTATATAGGATGTCTGCAATTATTAAGATGTTATTTTAAAATTATTATTGTTCTATAAGCATAGACAACCCATTGCAATGAAGAAGCAAGTTTCATTTTTAATTATACACAAAATAATATCATAATTTTAAAAATAAATCTGTTATAGTACTGTGTTTTATACAGTGTATCTGGAAGTGCAAGAAAGTAGTACAATTTTGGAGCTTAGAGATTAAACCAGGGAGACCATATTAGGGATTATATAGAGACTATATTAGGGTTAAAACAAATTTTTGATTCTAATTTTTTTATCCTAAGATTATACCAAAAGAGACATCATATGTGCAGAAAAATTCTTACTGCCATAGATTTATGTCTATTACTTGCAAAAAGAGTCATAGAGCACCAGTAAACCATAATTCATTAATTGGATTAAGGAAATATCCACAACCCTACCAATGGAAAAGATTACCTTCATTATAAAAGGGAAATTATTGCTATTTCAAAATATTTGGGGTCCTTTTATAGAATATATAGAAAACATAGATAAGGGGGGTGCTGGGGTGAACTATAGTTGCAGTTGGTCTTCTGGAGTGTCCTGAAATAACTTTTTTTTATTTGTATACCTGACTATTTCACTTTGAGCTACCGGTATACATTTGAGTTTGTATTTTCTGAACAAAGTAGAATACTAAAACAAGTTGGGCTAATCTTTTGAAAAACAGATAAAACCATTATTGTTGGAACTTTTTCTGTTGTGGGGGATTTGGGGTTGTGGGAATGTTTCTGTTTGTATGTAATAAGTGTTGCTCTAATCTTCTCGTTTCCATGAGGAAAGGGAAGAACATGGGTCAAGACAGCAAATTTGATTTCTCTCATACATTTCATATATTCATTAATTAAGATCTTCAGAAAATATAAAAGGTTGTTTTTTGTAATTACATTAATGAACCTTTTACATTTAATGTAAACAAATGTTTACAAAAGAAAAAAAACAAAACACTTATTTCATAGTTAAAATCTGGCCTTCACAGTAGTTTCATTGATTAGCTTTTTCAATACATTGGACCTATTTAAGGATTTCATTTGAAAACATCTGCTTTGCCCCATTTTGGGTTGTTTTGTTTTTTTTTCTCCCACAGTCCTTTGCCGCCTTCGTCGCGTCCGTGAAGGATGGCTCTGCTGATAAAGGAAGTGCCTCTTGGTGCTGCTGCGACCAGACCTTCAGCGAACACTCTGCCATTCACAAGCACGTAGCTAAAAGTCATAATGATGAGGTACAGCAGCTAACACAGGTTGCATATGAGCATCTGATAAAACAGCTGGAGGAAGAGGCAGAAACACAGCTGGCAAACAGACTCCAGGCAGAAGTAGACGACATTTCTGAATGGATACCAGATATCAGCCAAGTCACTGAGGAGCAACTGAGGAAGTAAACATTAGATATTTTCCTGTTTCTAACTGTAATACTATCTGGGTTTTGTCCTGTTAGATTTGTTCTGAATGTTTACCTCTTCTTTATTTGTAGCGGCCCTGGGAAAGTTCTTCTCTATTATCACTACTGTCAAGTGGATGATCCCCATGCTGTCTGTGCTTGGCAGAAAACTTTATGTGAGCAGCTCCACCTGACAGGCAAGGTGATGGAACTAGATCTGTAGCACTGCCTCAGAATGTTCAAATGCTGAATAAAAAATGAATTCCTACTGTTCCTTTTCCTCAGATAAGGGTGGCAGCAGAAGGCATCAATGGGACAGTTGGAGGTACCAATGTGGCCACTGATATTTACATCCGAGCAATGCTCTCACACCCTGTCTTCAAGATGGATCCGGAGGACTTTAAGGTCAGAGGACGCTGGAAAATGATGATGTAGAGTTTTGAAGCTACACAGCTCAGATAGGATTTAAAGACTTTATTTTCTAATACAAGCCTTGCTGTATTAAATATTTTTTCCTCTTTATTTAGACCAGCGATGGAGGGGCGGAGTGTTTTACAGACTTGAAAGTCGGAGTCTATAAGGAGATTGTCCCTATGGGTGTGGATCCAGATGTTGTTTCCTACAAGCTTGCAGGTTCTGATCATTTTTTTTTAATGATTTTATTTCAGTAAATCAGCTGTTGCTATTAGTGATGCAACAATTCACATTTTCTGACTTCTGATCCAATTCTGATTTAATGTTGTCATCGTTTGTTTATTTTTAATGGAGCCGTCACAAACTGCTCTCTACAACAAAATATGACAGTTTATGTATTAGAGACACTTTGTTTGATGGCTGATTATTTTGACATACTTGACCGGCCGATATTGCTTTTACTTCCTTTTTATCAAAATAGAAAGAAAAAACAGGTCAAACAAAACATTGATAATTTATTGCAAATGTAGGGAGCAGAAATGAATGCACTTCACCTGACTTCAAGGCATGGCTGCTGAAGGCGCGTGTGAAATCAGTGAAAGTATGCACGTACCGACCGAAGCCCGGACAAGAAAAACAAAGCGTAAAAACAGAAACATTCTGGTTTGTTATACAAAGCATGTCAAGATTTTTAAAATATCATATTCTTGCAAAAAAATATTTCATACCCATCCTTTATCCTTTTTCCTTTTTACACATATGCTTCAAAGAGAGAAAACATACAGAGGAGCTCTAAGTGATAAAAGCCTGAATATGTCATTTGGAAGCTCTTGTCTCTAGACTGTGCAGAAAATACTGCTTTATCCCAGAAATGTATTTGTATTTTTCATTCTCAAAGCAACACTTTGTAACCTTTTACACAAGTATTAGTTTAATTTGAGATTTATTAAAGCATTTTTGTAGGTCAATGCACAGCAGAGCATGTATTGATGCAACAGTGCAGTGTTGCCAGTGGCCTTTAGTGGTGCTAAACCTGGAAGTCATAGGTCGTGTTGCTTTAGATAATTCACAGGTCAAAGAAGGGTTGTGCGATCAAGAATGTATTAAAATAATAGCTCTTCATATCAATCCATATCGATAACTTTTTTGTATTTTTATTTTGAAGTATTTGAAGCAAGAAGCGAGAGAAAAAAGGCCAAATTTGAACCCTAACTCAGTTTAAATGTGACATTTAACCTTTAAAAAGAGATTTCCCCCACCACCAGCCTTGCTTAGCTTGGCCATGAGATGCTGAGAGGCCAAAACCTTTCCTCCCAGACTGATTAGTAGATAACCAGCTATATCATAATACCGTTTCATTCTAATGTGTTTTAATGATATCATATCTCCCAATAGTTTTTGCAATTTTTGATTCCGGTACAATATAATTTACTCATCTCACAATCATTTCCATCTATATCACAACTCAGGTATTTGAATTAAAAACCATATTCTTCTAAATTAAAGAGCCGTTACAGATCAGCTGTTCACATTCTGACACAGCAAGGCTAAAGCTAGCGTATCCTAGAAAATATGACGTGGATTGATATTTTTAACGTTGCATTGATGTAATTAGATAAACAATCATTTGATTTATGTTTTTAACCTCCTAATATAAATCAGGTGTCTGACATGATAAATATTGTTACAGTTTTATTGTGCAGAACTGGGACAAAGTTAAATGTCATATATAACAGAAAGCCCTGCCTCTAAAAATGGGGGGTTACTGGATGGAAGAGGAGGGAGAGAACTGCTAAAGGTCCATAAAAAATGCAGGAATGTTGGTTTTCCAGGAGTTCATCTGGAGCCTGAAGAGTTTCATAAGGAGGTGGAAGCCCTCTTGGCGGAACGGGATTCGACTAAAGACACCATCCTCTTAGACTGCCGCAACTTTTACGAGAGTAAAATTGTAAGTATGGATTTCATTCATTGTGGAGCATTTTAAGCAAAACATTTACTGAAGGAAGTGAAAGCACTCTAGAAAACGACCCAAGTGGTGTTCAGATATGTAGAAGTTTTGATTTTATTCCTAATTATTAATGTAATTTATAAACTAACCTCTTATATAATTTAGAGAAGCCAACCTTAGATCAGTCAAACAAAAAATAATTTATTGAACATATGTAAAAGTAGATTTGGTTAATATTATAATTTTTTCCCATCAGGGCCAGTTTACTCAGTGTCTGGCCCCAAACATCCGCAAGTTCAGTTATTTCCCGGACTACGTGGATCAGAATTTGGACCTATTCCGGGACAAAAAGGTCCTGATGTACTGCACAGGAGGAATCCGCTGTGAACGTGGCTCTGCCTACCTCCGCTCCAAAGTAAGCTAAATCTTCATTTTACTCAGGCTTCTTTTGTTTGTATGTTTAGGCCTTGTTTTTATTCCTCATATAGTCATGAGTAAAAGAAAGTTGCAGGCATTAAGTCAGATCTGTACCCGGTGCATGTTGGTCTCCGTCTTTGTCGTACGTTCTTTGTTTTTGTCACCGGTTCTGTTCATAACATTTATGGACAGAATTTCTAGGCGCAGCCAGGGACCGGAGGGTGTCCGGTTTGGGAACGTCAGGATATCATCTCTGTTGTTTGCAGATGATGGTCGTTTCTCAATATGTGTTCTTGTGCGTTCTCGTGTGCTCGCGAAACGTCATCAGCCTCAGCCCTAGTACTGTTCTAATTCACAAGAACACAAGACGGAGAACGGGCAAAGTCCCCGGATGTTGTTCTCGCCCCTCCCTATTTACCCAGCATGCATCAGAGCAGACTTGCCCGTTCTTGAGAATGACTGCTATCCCAGCATGCACTGCGGGAGCAGCTTCCATTGGAGTGCTCAGGGTATTAAGTTAAAAGTTACCTTTATGTATGTTTTATGATCATTTGAGGCCAGAACTTTAAACTTTTAAGCGTCGTTATATGGCCCATTTACCCATTTGATGCGGAATGTAAAAAAACTTCCAAAGTTGAGATGATCGCGGCAACCAGCGGAGCTCCGAGGATAACGGCAGCCAGGGCTAACTGCAACCTGTCTGCAGCAGCCTTCTCTCTGCATAGCCGTGTGTGAAGGACCACTGGCTATGATGGCTGCTGCAGACGCAATGAAAGCACCAAGTTTTTGTTTTATTTGGCAAAATGTTCATTTAATTTGGGTTTATCATACTGTTTTAATAATTATTCCCCCAACAAATGAAAAGGTCATTATTTATTATTATCTAGAGACTATTAATACGAGGAGGTGAAATGCAGCTCCAGACTAGCTTTGAATGTGGCGATGTCATCAGTACGGTTCTGTTCCAATTGACCCAGTTTTATGCTGCATGCTCCCGTTCTCGCCGAGTCCATATTTTCCTGTGTTCTAAACAAGAAAACACTTGATGAGGATATGGGTCCGTACTCGCGTTCTTGTGAATTGAGAAACGGCCTATGGACCTTTGAAGTGCACTGGGGTGGTGTGCAGCCGAATGTGGAGCGGCCGGGATGAGGATCAGCGCCTCCAAATCCGAGGCCACGGTCCTCCCTGAAGAGGTGGACGGATGGTGAGATCGATAGATGGATTAGTTCAGCGTCAGCAGTGATGCGGTCGCTGTATAGGACTGTCATGGTGAAGAGGGAGCTGAGTCGGGGAGCGGGGGGCACAGCTCTCGATTTACAGATCGACCTACACTCCCACCCTCACCTATGGGATGAGATCTGGGTAATGACTGAAAGGACAAGATCGCAAATACAAGCGATCAAAATGAGCCTCCACGACCTGACCCCGGATAAGGCGGAAGAAAATTTAGATGGATGGATATAGTCATATATGGATCCATATAGTCATGGGAAAAAGAAAGTACATCTTCAATCTATTCTAGAGTTATACTTTAGAAATCATCAGGTTAAAAAAAAAGAAAGAAAAGAAGGTTTTATTTCCAACAGGTGGTTCTGTGCTGTGGTTTGTGGTCTTGTAGCAAGAAAGTCCTGGGTTTGCATTCCAGTCTAGCTTCTTGCATTGGTCCTCTTGAAGTATTGAATATCATCTTGCAGTCCAAAAGCATTCCCATCAATTCGTCTCTTTAAACTGCCATTATGTAAAAGTGATTTCATGTATTAATTTAGATAATCTAATCTTCCCTTTACTTTCACTCGATTAAAGAACCTTGAGCACTTTTTGCTTTATGTATTTTCACATTTAATTGCCTGCTCCTTTTCTGTATTGTTTGTTTGCTGGTTGCCAGGTCCGCTAAAGCTATCCAAACCAAATATTTAAAAGTGGTAACCTCTCCTGCATGCCTTCTGAGTAGAAATGAACTGAATAAATCACCAATTGTTAGAGGTAGTAAAAAAAATTATGGATTTCTCATACTAGTCTAAAGGGCAGGAAGAGTTTGAGAACCATTGCATTGAGAAGCACATGCATTGCTGGTCCCTCCATTTAGTAACTAGTGTTAATATATTTCCTTTAATTTTGAATAGGGTTAGGGTATTTGCTTTTGTTTAAAACATTTAAAATTGTGTAACATATTTTACCATTTTATCTGGTAGAGGAAGAGAAAGCAATATCTGCCCAAAGAATCAGCCCCCAAAAATTGGCAGCACTTAACGACTGAGGTCAAAATAATCAGCATCACTGGATGGACCTGTAGTAACAGAAAAGTGGAAAAAAAATAATTTAAACCCTTAAATTTGATGGTTGTGTTCCAACTTCCTAAAAACTTATTATTAAAATATAGAGCTGTTTAGTCACAGTCTGATTGGAATTCATGTTTTAAACAGTATCAACCTTCATAACAGTTTGTTTTGGTAATATCTAACAAGTGAAACTACTGTTTTATTATGCAGGATGTATGTAAAGAAGTTTACCAGCTGAAAGGTGGAATCCACAAGTACTTGGAGTGCTTTCCTGATGGCTTTTATCGAGGGAAACTTTTTGTGTTTGATGAGCGCTACACTATCTCCTCAAACGATGATGTCATCTCAGGTCAGTATGTAAATGAATTACATAGCCTAATTCATTAGGCTTGAAAGAAATACTTGTATTAAAGGTATAGTGGAGGATTTTTGCAAGTTTTTGAAGACCCACTACCATGTACCGAGATAGCCTGGGTGCCATTCCGAACTTAGTCCCGCCCACAAGGTTTGAGGTCGGGAAGTTCGGTCTGGCTCTGCTCCATAGTAGCGCGAGTATGATCGCCCACCCTCTGGCGATCCAATCAAATTGTCAGGGCGGGCTTTATACGATGATGGACAGATGATCAACAGTAACGTAATCAACCACGTGACCAAAGCGCGCATGGGTGACAACAACAATGGCTGCCGCCGGAGAGTTGAGGTGAGTAGATTCTGCTATTAGGTCTGTTCTAGAAGATATCGACAGGAAATTAATTTTAAAAGAGGAACAGAGAAACGCGATCAAGGCTCATGTTCTTATTCTAGGCGTGCAACTGCACGCTTTGATTTTTGTGGACAACAACTATGCCTCGCTTAACATACGTCACGCACTCCGTTGCTCTTATTGGTTGTAGGTCTATCCAATTCAGTGCAGAGGCATTTTTTTTCCTGGTTCGTTCGAAACACGCCCCATAATCACAGCTCTATGGAGCAGCATCAGACTCATATTCTGACTAGAATTGAGTAGGACTACGTCAGGCTAGTACTGAGAGGGAACGCCTATTAAATTCGTGCAAGAGCATGGATGAGCCCATTTCTCCTCATGCATGTTCTGTTTAAAAGTTGCTGTTCTCATAGCTCATAAAAGCTTACTGCGTTCAAACGTTCGCTCTAACCCCTGAATCCCTCAATCACTATATAGAGCGGGGATTACAGTAGCAGCCATTCAAAATGGCCCTTCCAAGTCGAACGCCAGACGAATGGCAGCCTACTCCCTCCAGCTCCTAAATCCCCTCCCACTTCAGGCCACTGGACTGACCCCTTCTTGCATAGTCTAACTCCACCCTTTCACTGAATTACAGGGTCTGACCAGGAGATGGTGCTTCTCTTTAGATCTTAATGTCCACAAATCATGAAAGATAAATATTGACAAATATTGACGTTTAAAAAGGAATTATATGGGACCAGCCACAGACCCGCAAAGGGCCCATCAAGGAAAGTGGGGGAAATTTTGAATGGCTACTAATGTATATAGTGGACTTTCTAGAGAACTCAGTTAACTGACCATTCGGACAGATGATCACTACTTTTTGCTTTTTGTTGGTCACTCACCTCCTCCTCCACTGCGCGGTACCTGCGCCATCTTTGTTATTAGTTGCCGCTGTCGGGTAGAGACAAGCTATGGCGACGGCGGGCTGCAGTGACAGCAAATCCCATGATGCTTTGCGTGGAGAGTTCTCTGCACAAAGCATATATCTGTCTCTTCTGAGGCATTTCTTTTCTTCTCCTACACATTGTAGACACTTTTTCTCTTGTGACCCTCTGCCATTTTCAAAGAACCGCGGTGAGAAAGGCAAACTTCAATGACTATCTGAAACCGTAGCTCACCACAGATATACGCCTGAAAGTGCAGAGAAAAAGTTAGCTAACTGTTTACGCACGTAGGAAGGCCTTACCTAAACATACCAGCATGATTGAGAATTAGAAGGACCACTTATTTAAATGATCCAGCTGGAAAAAGAAAATTCTCCACTGTATCTTTAATCAAAAAGCTACAAATCAATATTTTCTAGTACATTATTTTTAGCCCTGTTGTCTTTCCTCAGATTGCAGATACTGTGGCCTTCCATGGGATCAGTATGAGCTTTGCAGCACCCAGTTCTGCTACCAGCTGGTGTTATCCTGTCCCAGCTGCAGAAAGGAAGGATGCACGGCCTGCTGCCCTTCCTGCCAAGCTAAAGGAAACACTCAGCACAAGAGAGCCTCTGACACCCAGCCTCCCAAAGAGGAGTGCGAGTGCACCGACATGAGGGCCAGAATCCCTCAGGATGTCAAATGAATTAAAAACTCACTTTAATGAGTCTTGATCAGTCCAGTGATGCAATGAAAGCTATGGAAAATTATTTGCAGATTTTATTGGAATTTTTGAAATAGTATGAGAAAAGGGACAAAAAAAAAGACCATTTTAAAGTTATTAATGACTGAAGTCTTTTATTCATCTTATCAGAAAGCTGAACAGCAGTGCCTCCTGGACCTACAGATTGTATTCTCATCTTATTGTGTAAATATAAAGACATACAAACGCATTGCTATTTTGTTTTTAAATAACTGAGCTCTGAAAATATAAAGGTTGTTTACATATAGGTGATTTATGACAAAAATGTGTAGAACTTTTCACAGACTATGTGCTTTGCAAGCCTTGCAAATGCTTAGTTTGTCAGTTAGCGAAGCTTCAGGTGTTCCTAAAACAAACCACAACCAGCAACGCCTCTCTGGGACTTGAAAATGCACTTTTCTAACCCAAATAGAGGATCGATTTAGAAACACAAAAGTAAAGCATGTATTTTGTACATTAGTAATAGTATGGAGAAATTTGATGATCTCTCTCAGTAAATACTGCTAAAATCCTTTTACTAGAGGGTTTTTTCAAATGGTAAAAGGTGGCTGACATAGTTAAAACCTCAACTTTAGGCTCATGACCTAAACCTCTTTCGGTTGGTGCAGTTCTTTGTAGCAGGTGAGAACACAAAAGCAAGATGGAAAATTATTGGAAATTTTTTGTTTTGTTTTTTTAATAAACAGAAATGACACCTTTTGTAAATCAAAAAAGCCAATGAAAGCAATTAAAGACTATCAAGCTAAACATACTGTTGTAATATCTAACACATGCCAAAGAAAAGAGAAAAGGTCCATTAGTTTAATGATTTGATTTAAACATTTATCATTTTTGTATTTATCATTTGCCAGAGAATCACATCCACTAAAACTGAAGCATTTGTGTTGAACAATTGTTTTGTGTCTCATTTTTTAAGAGAAGTTAAAACAAATGAGATTGCTGTATTCTCATTTCTATTGACTGACAGTCTGATAAACTTCACCGCCATGAGGCAAAAATAAATCAAAGTATTTTGCAATCTTTGTCATGTTCCTCTTCTTTAACTTCTGTTTATTACCCAGATTTGTACTCTTTAAGGACTCTTTCCATTATTTAAGTCTTTATGTGTTTGGTAGACCCTTATAGTTAGAACACAATTTTTCTCAGGAATATAATTTGAATATGAAGAATTAAAAGTAGAAAGTATTTGTTAGGCAAATAGGGATTACCTGGTTATTTCATATTTTTTAAAGTCTATTTTAGGGATCTGGATTTTATTTTATTATATATATATATATTTTTTTTTTTTTTTCAAAAATGTAAGAAGTTTTGTTAGTTTTGAATTGTTTGATTTAAATTTGAATTGTGAGCAATAATGTCAACACAAGCATCACAGAAAAAATGAACACATGCGTCGAAACTCCAGCAGAGGGGGCGACATGAAAACTAGCAGGTGTCAGCTAAGCTGTTCAGCATCCTGGAGGTTTTAGAGCCCATATTGAGCGGACCTCCCTGGCTTGGCTGCCCGGGTCTTCACCGACCATCAGCGGCCTCTATCTCCTCGGTGGGAGGGGGAGGCTTTGGGACACTGCCCCACATGTGTGTGTGCTCACCCTTGTGTTCGCTGGCGTGAGAACGGGAGAACCGCGCAATGTCTGCGCCGGGGTTCACGAACCTGGACAGTACAGCGGGCTACAGCCAGAACTCAACGCCGAACGGTGGAGCTGCGCCCCCCTGTCAGAACGGTAACACAGGCCGGGAGGATGCCGTTATCCAGCCTTAGCATTAGCATGCTAATGCCGTGGAAGCAGATATAGCATAACATTTAATTTCCTCCTTTATGCGTTTTAGTATCACCGCTTTTATGTTGATATGTAGAGCCAAAACGTGAAAACAATTTTATTTGCAAACAAAAAAAAAAAGAAAAGAAATAAATGTTCCAGATAGCGGCTAATACTGAGTGCTAACAGCTGCTAGCTCGAAGCTAACGCAGTCCAATGGAGATAAGTGATTTGAAGTTAGCCAACTGTTAGCAGGTGTAGTGACAGATTGCGCACCATCATTTCACCCTTAATATAAAAAAATCCTGGAAAAAAATATGAATTTAATTTTACAGATAGATCTAACTTTAACATTATTATTTAACACAACCATAGCTTTTAAATAAAAGGAAACGCTATATAAACGTTTTCGGGAAACAGACAAATAATTAAGAATCAGGCATCAAAGGTAAAACTTTGCAAATAAAAAAAAAACTCAAGGCAGTTAAACTTGATTATTTAACCATTGTTAGCTGAGCAGATGGTTAATCGTCTTGACAAGTAAAATTCTCCTACTGAATCCAAATTGAGTGCTGTTCATGTTGGTCTGGCTGTAAGATAACATGATTTTTCATTTTAAACACACGACAGCTTATGTAAAAATGTAAAAAACATAATAAAACACAATAAGATTAGCAGTTTTGCAAATACAAACTAATAAAACAGCTTGAATATCTATGATAGGACGATGACAGGTGGTGAGAAAGTATACTTATTTGTTATATTTAGTTATTTTAATTGTTATATCCTTTTATAATGTTATATATATATATATATATATATATATATATATATATATATATATATATATATATATTTAAGAAAAAAAGTTATTTATATGTACATTTTGTAATATGAAGTTTGCACAGTTTAGTGAAATCTCTTTTTTTTATTTCTGAGTATTATGTCTGTTATTATGGCATATTTTTGGATCGGATGTGGGCCTGTGTTTGTGTGTGTGTGTACCTGTCTAGCCCTCAGAGTGAGGACCATTTTTCCAATTTCACCATCAGATTGAGGACCAGTTCACTGCGGATCCAGACATTTGAATTGAGAAAGCTTCCTGGAGGGGAAGCGAAACGTCTTTAAACCTTGGAAACCAGGTTCAGTGGATTGTTTTTTAAACTTTTACGGAAGGACCAGTTGTTGCAAAGTAAAGACATTTTGCTGGTCCTCACAAGCTATTTTGCTAATGGTTAGGTTTAGGGCTGAAGTGTCAGTTGGGTTAGGGTGAGGTTTGCATTGGTAATGGTTAGGTTTAAGGTTAGTTTTAGGGCATAGAAAGGGTTGAAAATGACTGAAAATCAATGGGAGTCAACACATGGTCCTCACTACGATGGCTGAACGAGTGTGTGTGCTGGTGTGTGTGTGGTGGGGGGATTGGTGAAATTGTTTTCTGTGTGCAGTAGATTAAGTTGATGGCATGAATGTGTGGGATCCTTAAAGATGTTGGTTGATTTGCTGTGACAATGTAGGTATAAGATCCCACCCGTTCTGTACCCTAAGTCAACGTGATTTGTTTTGTTTTATTCATTTCATTTTTGTGCCGTTGTGATGATGGTTGAAGTGCTTTCCTGCCTACTGTAGTCCAGCTGAGCTATCATGATTAGACGCTGAGGGACATGAGGACGCTCTCACCTGAGCCCCTGTGTAATGCTCCCAACATCCCTTGGGGGAGTTGGTCTTTCGTCAGGGTTACTGCTGCTAACTTGATCATCTGTCAGTGCTTTATGTAATGGAGCCAAACGTTCTTCTCTGACTTTTGTGTAGAAGCAGGAGATTTCTGATGTTTTCAGGGAGAAGGTACAGAACCAATTATCAAACAACAGGCTTAACCTAAATTTGAAATTCAAGTTTTTCATAATTGTCTTTTATTTTGAAGCACAGGTAAAAATAGAGAATTGAACATGGCTTCTCTCTTTATTTAGATCAGATTACATATGTGAAATGTTATTGTCTAAAATGCGACTCTTCTCCAGGTCCACTGCCGCCACTCACATACCCCCCTACAGGCTACTATGGCACCCCACCTCCGATGCAGAGCTACCCCATCATCCCAAGCCACGCCACCTCTGCTCCTAGCAAAGCTTTGATCACAGGCAGTACTCACTTTTACCAACACAACCATCAGCAGCAGCAAACACAACTCCCTCCGCATCAAGTAGCATCATCTCCATACTCTGCTCCTCCGCCTTCTCATTCCTACCCCACCAATCCACCTTCAAATGCCCAATACAACCAACAGCCGTACCACCAGCAGCAGCAAGCGCTCTATGCTGATCCGAGGTCCTACTATGGTCAGCATTCGTACACAGCTTCTCCAATGCAGCAGAATCCCCGTTTGGTTTCACCACCAGCTGCTGGCCCAGATGCTCCCCTCTATCCAAATGTTTCATACCAGTATGGCACCCCCATCACTTCGTCCAAGAGCATCTCCACCCCAGGGGTCATGTCCACCCAGATGGGAGCGCCGTTGCATCAGTTCAGCGCTCTGCCTCCAGCCTCAACAACAGCAGTGCAGCCAGGGTACGGCGACGGAGCTGAGCTAGCAGGAGCAAATGTAAATGGTAAAGGAAGCACAGGTATGTGAGAGAGATGGGTGCCAATGCTTTAAACGTAAAAACAAGAGTTTAGAGCTTTCACTTGCATCAAGTCATTTCAGTAAAAGAACATCGATAGAAAGTTTGCTACAATATTATGTACAAAAAATATTAAAATCAATAATGTAGTTTAAAAAAAAAACTGCAGGAAAAGTTAAGAAAACCAAAGGGCCTTATAAGACACTTCTACTTAGAAAAAACAAGTTACAACAGTGTAAAAAGACAAGTCAGTATATCCAATGTATTAAGTTTACATATGTATTTTTTTATATTAGTTTAACTTTTAGTTGATTTTACAAAACAATGAATTTGAATTGTATTTGAGGACTGAAGAGCTGGAGGTAGTTTGTTCCAAATGGTAAATAGAAGTCACTAGACTGCCTTGTTGAATAAGTGTTTATATCAAAAGAATACATAAAGAAGATACGAAAAACAATCAGCAACTCTGTAAATGAATGCACATATTTATACATAAGTAGAGATATTTTAAATATGTTCAAAACATATTTTGTATGAAGAGGAGCAAAAAAAGAAAGTATGTTTGAAAAATTAATTATATGTAAACTCTGGCTCAAACAATTGGATTAGTCAATTGTTGAAATAATCGTCAACTAATTTAGTAATCGATTAATTGTTAACTGGAGTATAGAGACTTTGAAACATGCCTTTAGCTGACAGAGCGA